CGAGAACCGCATCGAGTGGTTTCTGAACGCCCCCGCCGCGAGTCATTTTGGGGGGAATTGGGAGACTAATATTAAAAGTCTAAAGATCCATTTATACCGAGTAATTGAAGATCAAATTTTGTCTTTCGAAGAATTAAGCACTGTGCTCGCGCAAATCGAGTGCGTCATGAATAGCCGCTCCTGGTGGTTGTACTCACGAAAGAAAATACGCCGCCTCTCTATTGGCCATTAGGGTTCGTCGAAGAGGTTTTTCCCGGATCCAACGGCATAACTAGGGTAGCTCGCGTTAGGAGCACGACTGGGTCATACATGCATCCTGTTGTTCGTCTAGGCCCTTTGCCCAATCATGAGTTTCGAATTGCCTTCTAGGTTAGATTGGTAGTTTTAATTAGGTTTAGCATTAGCTTTTGTTAGTTTTGAAGGGGACCCTTCGGGCCGGGGGGATGGTTGCGCGGAGAAAAGAAAACAGGTACTCTCACATTTTGTTCGCTTGTTTATCGTTGCCAGTGTCTTTCCGTCCTATATCCACGCATTCCTTCTGCACGCACTGAAAGGGGAGGGGGGTCTGGAATATGGTGCCACCTTTTCGGCCAATAAGAAGCGCGCCCCGTGAGATGGAAGTGGTAGAAGTGGCCTGCCCATATATGGACGCGCACTACCGTCGCTCAGCCTTTCTTGTATCGTAGTTCGTAGACTTCGCTAGTTGTGATCGCACCTCTGTGGCAGTCGTGCCATAGAATAATCGCTAGTAGTAACCGCCTCGCATAGTACGAGTTGTGCCTTGTACTAAAGTTGATCCCTTTTATCCATTCAACAGCATTACGACCTAGTGTAAAAAAAGGAAGTCGACGGATATACCAGGAGGATCCACATGCAAGATCGTCACTTACCCGGTCCAATTGTGAGTGTGAGTGTTCGTCAAAATCAGTGCAGCCGTTCTTAAATGATGATCTTTCATACATGCGACAATTGATTTTTATTTATATAGATTTACCACTTGCTTGGCGGAAAATAAAACCATCGACTATATTCAACAAAGCTTTATCTGCTTCCTTGGGGAAGCCTATATTTAACAGCGGACTTGTGATAAGCTTGTGATAACAGTAGTCAGGTTTACGAATAATTTAACAACAAAGTAGTCATCTTCTCCAAATAATAGTATTATCTCCTGTATTGATGATTTTAATGTATCGAACATAGCCGCTCGAAACGCACTTACATTAATTAAACTTAAATTACAATTGCAAAAATCGCATATTTGCTTATATAAGAAAAGTTCTCAGGTTGAAGAAATAATGCTATTTAGTTATTAACATTACTTCTTGTTAAATAGAATGGAGCTAGTTTGCCGATCACATCTCTTCAATATCATTAGATATTGTTGCTGGTTGTTATGAACAACCACAAAGTAAGGTAGAACGAGATACATAAATTATTTTAGCATAATTTTATGTAAGTTAGAATTATCTTTTACGTAGAAGAGTCATGCTGAAACTATATTATGGTTGTGGCACAGTTAGCTCGAACGGAGAAGGACCACGTTCTCTTGGAATACCAGCGTAAAATAGCAGCTAAATGCTGCTGTGTTTCTTATGGTGTGAGAGAATTGGAGGCCGGATTTTTACTGGAAATAAGGTATTCCACCTAAATCCTCAGTGGTGACAACGCATCTGCATTTTGATTCTAAATCGAGGATTGTTGTAGATATCTATGAACCACGGCATTCACTTAGGTACTATTAGGTGGACTGTGTGCTCGTTTGTCACCCTTATAATGTGAAATAAAAAACGTATAAGGTAATATTCTTTATATACCCGTAATTTTTTTTAAATCATGACCTTGTCAATTTTTAATAAAACTGAAGTGACAAACGAACTAACGGTCTGCCTGACAGTTAACGGCTGCTGTATACCATGGGCACCTGGACACGTGCAGCTTACTGCAAGCAAAGAAAACTAAGGGTGCGTTATGACCTCTGAGATCTAAGATTTATCCCTTGTTATTTAGCGTCAGAAATGAGTAAAAAATGGTATCTTCCCAGAATAACTCCTAGGAGAAGAAGAAAAAACAAAGACTATATTTTTATAACTACACCGTCTTTTATAAGATGCAATTTTCTTGAATTATTAAACACATCATGAATTGAAATTACATTTTAATGCTTAAATTGTTTAAATTAAACTATTTTAACACCTAATTTTATTATTAAAATATTATATTTTTGTTATATATAATTAAAATAACATTTACTTATAAAATTTACGAGTATTTTATATTGGACATGGTTAAAACGAATAGAATAAAATTTAATTGCCCGTAAAGTTAGTTTTGCCATTTACCGATTACACATATATCGTAAAACTATATATATATATATATATATATATATATATATATACATATATATATATATATATATATATATATATATATATATATATATATATATCGTCCCTCAACTTACTGTCGCTAATATCACTAGATGGGTGCTTTTTTATTAATGGTATGGCTAAATTGGAATCAACAAATCGACAAACATATTATCATCATCATCATCATCATTACAGCCCTTCACAAGTCCACTGCTGAACATAGGCCTCCCCCTAGGTATGCCACAAAGCACGGTCCTGAGTCACCTGCATCCATCGACTTCCTACATGTCTTACCAGGTCGTCTATCCATCTAGTGGAGGGTCGCCCTACACTTCGCCTACCGGTACGAGGCTGCCACTCGAGAACCCTTCTTCCCCGGTTGTCGGTTCTTCGAGCTGTATGGCCGGCCCATTGCCACTTCAGCTTACTAATCCGTTGGGCTATGTCGGTCACTCTGGTTCTACTGCGGATATCCTCATTTCTAAGTTTATCACGCAGAGAAACTCCGAGCATTGCCCTCTCCATAGCTCGCTGAGCGGCTTTGAACGTCCTCATACGGCCAGCAGTGAAGGACCACGTCTCGGTTCCGTAATTCATCACTGGCAACACGCACTGCTTGAACTACTTAGTTTTCAGGTTTTGAGGTATAACTGGCGAGAAGATGTATCGTAATTTCCCGAACGCTGCCCAGCCGAGTTGAATCCGTCGATTGACCTCTCGGTCGAAGTTGGACTTATCTAGTCGGACTATTTGTCCCAGGTAAACGTACTCGTCAACAACTTCGAGCTTAGTGCTCCCAAAAACTACCGCCATAGGTGTGACATGGACATTAAACATGATCTTTGTTCTGAAATTTGGTCCGAATTAGTTGAAATTCGTAGAAAATCTAAGTTTGACGAAACATTTTGGAAATCCGCTCAGTTCATTTCAATCGGTCCAGCCTTTCAAAATTTATAAGAGGACACATCCACACGCACACACGCACACACATGCGCGCGCACACACACACACACTCACTCACGCATACACGCACTCACATACACACACACACACACACACACACACACACACACATACACACACAGACACACACACACACACAGAGAGAGAGAGAGAGAGAGAGAGAGAGAGAGAAACAAACACACACACACACATAGAGACATACACACACACACACACACACACACACACATAGACATCTTCAAATCCAGCAGCAGTAAACCTGGATGACGTGGACCTGACCAATCTACAGCAGCTAAACCAATTATTAACCAGTGATAGTGTAAAAAGTGAGCAAAGTGAAAGTGTCATAAATATGAAGGACATAAGTATCGGGACAGTTATAATAATTGTAATCCTATGTAAAAAATATTTGTATCGAAATTATCGGACTCGGAAAACTTGCCCGCTAATTTCGAATCTGAGGGGGGGAAGAGTTATGCATCCCGGTATTCACGGAACTGCACCGGAGACCATAACAATTCAAGAGTAAGCGTGGGCGTAGATTGCTGAATTGCGTCTGGAAGACGTAATTCAGCTTCTTCCAGACGCAATTCAGCAATCTACGCCCACGCTTTTCTTGTGAATACTGATACGGTCACGGTCACGGTCGCGGTCTTTCTTGTGAATACTGATAACTGTTCTTTAACTTAAAGATCTAGAATAAGAATTAGGATAATCTTAGTTTGGCTCGCACATGTATCGCACATGTAGCCTTAGGTTAGAATCCATCGCGGATTAATTAAGTAGTATATAAGTAATGTATCGCACATTAATAGTTATAAGTTTATTAATAAAGTCTTTTTAAAAACGTCCTGAGTCAGTTTCGAATCTTGACTACTTTTTGGCGGTATATAAATAACGCAACATAAAAATAAAAATCTCTGATGTAAACAAACAGTTGCATTTTGAATACACAATTGTCTACGATGACATCACTGCTGGTCGCAACTCGAAACGCGGTGTGGCCACTAAACATGCGCCGCCTTGCTTACGTCTGTCTGCCCGGTCACTTCTAATTATTGTATAACCAGATGGCATTAATTTAGCGTAGTAGTGTAACTTAATTGAATTATTACAGCAAGTTTCGGTAATAGCGAACAAGTCTGCTTCGTTTATAAAAGTAAACCTTCACAAAGTTCATCCAGTTTGTACCAAGGTCTTTGACTTTTTGACTGGCTTACGAAACCACACCCATTTACAAAACATTATATTCGCCGCCCAATATTCTGAATGACATAGCTCTCTGCCATACCTATTATGAGGGATGCATAATATCTTTCAGTTTTATGCTTAATTATCCACCTTGACAGCTATATCTTGTCCACATATCGTTTCTACGCATTCTATGGTAGTTTCTTTCTTGAGTCTCCAGAAATGTAAATATTTCTTCCTCTCTGTGACTTGAATTTCTAGAGAGATTGTGTTAACTCCTCTTTTGAATTCACTGTTCAGGAACCAATTTTTTATCCTATGAATGACTGTCCATTCTTCACTTTCTTTTTTCTTCTCTTTCCCTTTCTTTTAAATCTTTTCTTTAGTATTGGGTTTCATACCATTTATTTTCTCGGCTTGTACATCTGTGGTAGCAGATGTCCCCTGTAGCATGGCCACAAATTCCTTTGTGTTCTAATTTTCTTTGACAGTACTTGCAAATGACTTTGGTAGTACTGGTGATAACTGAGTTGCTTCTCTAGTATTTTTAATATTAGTCGCTGATTGACGAGATTCCAGCCTTTCGTTTTTTTCTATCCCTATCTTTATTTTATTTTCTAAAAAATCTACTTTACTCGCCTTTTCTTGAACTACGTTCAATATACTTTGTACTTTAATTATCTCTGCTTCTGAACGGATAAATTTGTTTTCGAGTTGTTTATATGCCTGTATTTGCTTATCCAACTCATTCTTCATTTCTAATCGAAACTCACTCATCATCTCGAACACGTTACATTCGTTTTTGGCCGTAGGTACATCGGTCTGCTTTGTTCGCCTTGGCTCAATGTTAACGGAATTCGTTGGTGTAAATGTTCTATTCATTATTGTGTGCCCGCGAACAGGGGAATTCTGAGTTTTATCGAGACCCTGTCTTTGGGATATCTCGTATACAAAAAGAATTTATTTATTTATTCATTTATTTATATTTCCTACTAACATCTACCATTACAGGAAAAACCTAAATCGATAAATGTAGCATCTCAATTCAAAAAGTAACAATTCAAATGGTAAAAGATTACTAATTACAACACAATAATTAATTTAAATAACAATACATAATAATTAATTTCAATGACAATACATTACAATCAATTGTATAATACAATTTAAGAATAACATATTGTAAATAATGTCACTTTTGCGAACTCACTCCGTGAACACGAAAATAAGTCCAACTTCTCAGCTACCAAATTTAGTATGTGTATCGTTCGCGTGAGGGGGGTATTGCGAACCAGTTTAGTCCTGCCGCGTGGCATCGCGAGCAAGCTCGGCCGTCGTCGCCGCTGTACATATCTATCAGCCACGTATAAGCCAGGCAGCATACCCGGGTTGCTGATGTAACCACGGAACACCCTTAAAATGTAGATTACCAGCGCTAGATCTCTTCTAGTTTCCAACTTGTTGTATCCAACCATACCTAAAACAAACAGGGTTGAATACATCAAGGGGTAGGATGGATAAACTCCATAAAGTTTATGATATATAAATCGCGTGAATTTATTCTGAATGCGCTCTAGCATAAGATTGTATTTATTTTCATGTGGAGCCCATATTGCTGAGTTACACTCCAGCTGACTCCTTACTTGAGCATCATACAGCACTGAGATTGCTTTAATGTTGGTAAATTTTATTGCTCTGCGAATGATGAACCCTAGTCGTTTATAAGCTTTCTTACATATATTCATGATGTGCTCCCGGAATGTCAATTTGACATCCATCTGGACTCCAAATTCCCGGACTGATTCCTCCCTCAATTATACTCATGCCATGTGTGAATGGTCACATCTAAATAATCGTTCGTTGAAAAATACCAATACAGATAAAGTGTTTCATAAATAGTCCTAGCTGATAATATCAATGTCAATAAAAAATGACTCGTCTGCTGGATGTTACAGAGAGGAGTCAATTCTTATTACACATAACTCTGGTCTTCATAATATTATGCGTAGCGAATAAACTCCTATGTCACTCAATGGCAGTGTTAACAGATTTGGTAATGAAGAAACCATTCTACCAGTTTTGTATTTGCAACCGGATGGAAGTACGTCGTCTCCAATTTTAGTTGATTGTTTGCAAGCAGATGTTTTTGAATAAGTTGTGGACCGATTATCAATTTGCCGCCAAATTGTAAACAAATTACAAATTTATAAAATACATACGCAATAATATTGGCAAAGAGTTCTATTTTAAAAATTTCAACTTATTTTTTTATTATATCGTTTACAAGTGGCCAGTTATAAAATCTTTCAGTGTCGCACTCGTAGAAGTAACATCAAAACATACCTTTCGAGCATTTCCAGCAATTCATTATAGCCTAAGTCCTCTGCTAAACATAGGCCTCTTAGATATCCTTTTAGAAGGGACAATGCCATAGTTGAAACGTATGGCAGACGGGTGTTTCATTTTCAGTTGTTATCAAGTAAACGCCAGCCATATCCTTACTCTTGACCCAGATTTACGACGTAACGACGTAACTTTTTAGATGTATTTATTTGAATTTCTAAACACTGTCACAATATCGTGTAAACCATTGAGTTATACAAAACTAGAGGAGCAAACCAGCGCGAGGAGCGCGTCGAAAAAAGTGTAACCACTTTCTAACAGCGATGACGTAGCTTTTAAATTACTAAACTTTTTGAATAAACATATATCTGTCTCAGTTACACAAGTTGCGAAAACAATAACGTCTAATAAAATATATTTAATAGATCATTCATGAATAAACTAAAATAAAAATAATTAATTATTTTGTATGAAAGATAAAACGTAGTTTTTATTATAATTTCCAAAATATTTAAAATCAGAGGTAACAAATTAACTAACTCCATTAATTATATAGTCTGCTGTTAATGTGGGATAATCAAAAAGGCGAAAAAGTGGCAACATTTAACCTAAACAAAACTGTTTGAAAACAAAAACAAAATATGAAAACATGAACTAAAACTTATGCGTGAAAAGTGATTCCGCTTGATTTATAATGTTTTTGTGACTTTGAATCGCATTCTTTCACTACGCATTTACCCATTTTTGTCGCGGATCGTTAGGCTCAGCTCTGTCGGCGTCACATTGAACACTAAAATGACGTTAGCTAGGCATATGGCTGTGGCCATATGTGCAGTGGCAAAGCTTTGGTGCAGTTATTACTAATCTAGTGTAATATATAAATCAATGGTGTAAACATGTTATTTCCCTAACATGTTGAAGTAGAATGAATCACGCCATGCCATAAGATATCTTTACAAAAATAGGAAGTATTAGTATTACATAGTTTGAAATTATAAAAAGCACTTAAAATAGGTTACATCATAAATATCTTTGTTTCTTTCTTTTTCCTCTAAATATTTTATTCGCACTTATTTATTTGCAAAAATGCATTGGAGAATACGAAAAACCGTAGAATATTCTTAATACAACCAATATCTACCCACATTATACATATAACTTAGCTAAGAAAACAATAAAAACCAATTACAATAGATACTTACCAATCTACTGCAATATTTTAAAATATTTCACTAATATTTCCATTTTAAACTTTCCATTGCACTGCAAAGGACGGACGTGCAATTTTATCTGATAAATTTATTCATTTTCGAGCAAGAACCAGTCTCGTTTTTGAATAAACAAGCTGGAAACTGAAACTTTTACAATCTCTAGTCGACGAGGAGCTTTAACAAACTTTCAAAAGCACTTCATTCATTCTAAGCAATAACACTGTGCATTGAATAAAACTATATTTATGGATTTTTTCACGTTTAATCAACTATTTTAACTTAGTTTTTAATTCCTGACGTTTCGGGTGCTTTACAGCACCCATGGTCACGGAGGGGACTGAGATGTTTGACGTCCCAATGTCACAGTTGGTACAAAAAAGGTCACGAAAATGACCTATGACTTCAAATAACTAACGACGCAGACACGAGATAATATGAGACTTTTGAGACAACTTTTAGAACGCCAAAATGAAGCTGTTTTTCAGAAGTTTCCAGCTTTTTATCTCACATTCTGAGATTGACCCCTTTTTTCCCCCTAAAGTGACTGGAATAAATGTGTAGTGTTCGCGTAAATTTAAGAAATCATTGAATAACACTCTGATAAACAAAAAATAAATTTTTTATCGGTTCTTGTACAAGTAGCAGAGCAAAGAGCTTGACCCGAATTTTATTGCGGATTTTTTCATCGTGCAGTGGCGATATACTCGCAAGAAAATCTTCTACCCTATATTGTGCCGTGGGTGTCGTAAGAGTCGGCGGAGGCAAATAAACCAGGAGGTTAGCAGAAACTTAATAACAAATTAAGAAAAACTGCGGTTGGCAACCCGCCTGCCGAGAGTTGCCACTGTGGCAAAATAAACAGTGGACTTTGATAGTACATAGCGGTAATATTATTATTTAGACTTAGACTTAGACTAAGATTTGGACTTAACATTTTTTAAACTTTTCATTATTCGGACTTCATTCTTTCCGAAAAGTTTTTCTTTTGGGAATATTTAAATTAAAATGGTTACACCGTCGCCCGTGCCGGGTGTTCCAGCATACGTCAGTTTTTACAGACACACACAATTAATTACCTATTGTAATATTTGTTGTTTTTATGAATAAAAATAATACATATTCCTTTTTTTAATCAGCCCGTGAATGGTTATTGCTGCACGTGGACCTCTCCCGTTTTAGGGTGGATTTACCCGGAGCGTATTTATTTCATTAGGTATTTATACGATTAGGTAGTGGTAAACTATTTTTCTCATTCTATCTCACATCTAGATTTACCTTAATCGTCACACTTGGCAGGCAAATTGTGATGATCGCAGTACTAAACTGAACATACTCGTATCGCACCTTTGACGCGACTGCCCGTCGCCAGTCGTGTTTATTTTTATAGAAGAGTGGGCAAACGGTCATGCGGCTCACGTGATGGTAAGTATCGACCGCTACCTACGAATAAATGCCACACTAGGGGTATTACATATGGTCTAAGTACATTCTGTCTATCATAAAAAAATTAAATTAAAGTACACATCGCAGTCGTGGGCCTGAGAGGGTTTCAGGAAAGGATGTGTCCTTCATGCTGCCCCAGTACGTTTGTGCATTGGCAGACTTCACATGCCTTCTACATATTTTTGATTTCTCAGACACTGATTTGCTGTGGAATGCGGAAGCGATAAAAGAATTCTGACATACTCCATTGTAGCCTCTCACGACATCTATGGGACAACATTTTCTCCTATGGATGAAAGATATAATAGGTAAATTTGTAAAGGATATTATGTAACACGTTTATAAGAAAAGCTTTTTCTATATTATTACGGATACTTACTAAACTTACATAACTTTACATACTAACATTTCAGTACGAACCCGACAGCAGTGACGCTTTTCGTGTCAACTTCAACGTTCAATAATAAGTTACGAAATAATATCGCAGTCTAAAGAGAGTGTAATCCTTAATTTTTTTAAATAATTTTTAAAAATTTACATTTTTTTAAACACAAAAAATAATGATCGAGAAGATCGAAAATTTTTATTCATATTTCATCAGTTAGTAATTTGTATCAAATATCTACTTATAATTTACATAAAACATGATTTCCAAAAAAAAAAAAACGGTCGTCTGGGTACTTTTAGGTAGTTAAAGCTATTAACAAACTGAAATCTTAATTTAATCAAAAATACCACATAAAGTAGGTTTATACTTTAAAAAATGTTGGATTTCAATATTTTTAGTAGATAGGTATCTAATTCAATGGGAGTTTCAAACTATGTTCATCAATCACAGGGGAAAAACTACCACCATATAATAAAATATGACTCGGGCCGCTACAA